CTGCCCTTCGTAGCAATCTCATTCATTACAAAGATTTTTAACGCCATAATAAAATTTGGACATATCCCGACGGAATGAAAAAAAGCGTTAATAATAATGGTTCAAAAGCCCGGAAAGGATTCAACACTAGCCGCATCATATAGGCCTATAAGTTTGCTGCCTTGTCTGTCAAAATTATTTGAGAAAGTGTTCCTTACAAAATTTATGCCTTTCTCCCAAGATAGAGACTTGATCCCAAACCATCAATTTGGATTTCGTCAAAAACATGGTACTATCGAGCAAGTGAACAGAATAACTAACGAAACAAGAAGTGCTTTTGAAAATCGAGAATATTGCTCTGGTGTCTTTTTAGATGTTGCACAAGCGTTCAACAACGTATGGCATGAGGGCCTGTTACACAAAATACGACAAGTACTCCCGCAAAACTCACACGCAGTACTTCAATCATACTTGATAGGCAGATCTTTTAAGGTAAAGTATAATATGCACACAACTAATGGCTTTCCAATAGGTGCAGGAGTTCCACAAGGCAGCGTTCTTGGTCCATTCTTGTACCTCATCATTACTTCAGCTATCCCTGCAAATACCAATTTAGTAATATCAACATTTGCTGACGATACCGCTATTTTGTGCGGACATACAAATGCCGCAATCGCTTCCAGTCAACTGCAAAATCATTTGTACTGCATTGAAAGCTGGTTATCACTTTGGCGAATCACCAACTATCACTCTCAACGGATTAGCAGTTCCGCAAACAGAAACAGTGACGTACCTTGGTATTCACCTTGACAAACGCTTAACTTGGCGAAAGCATATTGAAACAAAAAGGACTCAAATGAAGCTCAAAGCTTTAAGCCTTCGTTGGCTAATCGGTCATCAGTATCCCTTATGTTTAGAGTACAAAGTCTTGTTATACAACCAAGTTATTAAGCCTGCAAAGAGCTCAAGCAAAGATCTTAAGAATGATAACTGGTGCACCCTGGTATATCAGAAATGAAAACATACATTTCGATTTAAGAGTTTCGATGGTTAAAGTTGAATTCGAGAGAATAAGGCAGAAACATATTTCAAATCTTGAAAACCATGTAAATCCGCTGGCTAGACCTCTCGCTAATATGACTACTTCCTCTAGACTAAAACGGAACGATAGACCATCATACTTTCCTAATGATCATCCTAATTAATTCAACTAAATTAATTCAATTAATATGATATCTGTGATATCTGGTAAATAAGTCCTGGCTACTTATTCAGAGGCCCCTTGAAATAATTTACAAATCATTATATGTATCATTATAGTATGTTTATATAAAATAATTTGTAATGTAATGTTATTAGTCTTTAAAATTCTAAAACTTATTGTTAGGCTTTAATTTAAAGCGATTCATTAAAGATATATAGTAAAATAAAAAATAAAAAAAAATAATCATTGTATATTGTAGATGTTATATGTCGATGACCTTGAAGTGTCATCGAATTATGTTTTATACTGCATTCTGCTGATAGTTTTAATCAGCCGGATCCTGTTTACATGATTTGGCTGATATCATTGACACATACACTTGAAAATTTTGTTGGTGCAACTAGTCCAAATATCCATTGATTTTCATGTTTCAATTGGATTCACACGGAGCTTGAGGTTGACCGCTTTAAATCGCAATTCCATTGGGTTTCATTATTTAATGCATTCACTTCGCAAGCACATTTATCAGCGTCTTTGTTGTAAATTGCTTGAACATGTGAACACAAAAAAGTGTCATTTATTATTTTTACATATGTTTGCAGAACATCCTGCGATAGAGTAAAGTATTTATCTCTGTGCGAGTTTGTTGCTAATATCGAGCACTCCGTTGTTATGGACACAATAGTATTATTAACTATTACTGGTATTTACACCACATTGTAATTAACCTTTGTTTTGGTTCCTGTATAACTGGGGTTGAACTCAGCCGTCGCCAAGGCTCACACAAGAAATTTATTTGGCGAGACCCCGTCACTTCCAATTTATCTTGACGTCTTAGCTGAAGATATCTTGGATGGAATATCAACCGGAACCACAGACGCAATGGAATCACTGACAGTAATCGACACGATAAATTACAAACACTCGTGACTGTTAAAGCTACGTGAGTGGTATTACAGGTCGCAGATCACACGCTCTTCCCTGTTCACTGTTAAAGCGCCCAAGAGCCGGAGACGTTAAGTTACTATTATAGCTACCTATCGCTTCCGACACTATGGTATAGACACACGTGACTGTTAAAGCTACGTGAGTTATACCCCGTGCAACCGAGGTTCAGTCACTGTTGAAATCCTGAATTTGCTTATCTATGTCTCTCAATCGAGCCGTTGTATGTCTTAAGTTGGATTCTCACCTTTAAATTTGCACCTTTCAGGAGAAGTTAATATAAGTTGCGCTTTACCAATTCTGTAGTTATGCCTAAGAACTCATGTTTATGTATCTGTTTGCTTTTATTTAAAATACAATTTTAATTAATTTTTCCCTTTTTATTTTTTATTCGTTAGAAGAGAAATTATTAAGATTTATTTTATTAACAAATAAGTAATTATGTACAAAATTTTAGTTTCTACGTACTTTTTACTTTGCTTTAAATTCGGTTGTCAAATTCAATTTTTAAAGTTTTCACTATTTATGAAAAAAAATTTTTAAATTTCGATATTAACAAATTTAATAATTTAATTTAATTAATTTAATTTTAAAAACAATTATTATGTACACAATTTTTCACTATGTTTGAGAAACTACTAAAATTTCGATATTGACACCGCCGTCTTAGTCAAAGAAATTTAATTGCTGCTGCTGAAGCCAGAGTCAAGAGTCTTTCTTTCGCGGTTGAACAAAACAAGAGAGTCAAGTCATTTGACTTGCAATGGATAGAAGCGTCTGCGACTTTCAACCTGGTTAACTACAGTCACAGAATTTTTTAGTTGTTTTATTACATCATTAATGTGATATTCAACCTCTTCAAGTTTGACGGGTGATGTTTTCTGATTCCTTTTAACAATATTTATCGTTGCAACAAGAATCGACGTTTGATTTTTTAGAAGTTCTAGTAAATGGTTTTCATCATTGTGAACCTTGATGATTGTGTCTGACATATGGTTAGCATATTCTGAGTCTAGTACTCCAAATAGTGAATGTGCTACATTTCTGATTATATCCAATGCGGCTCTTTTTGAACGAGTAGTCGAGATCATTCTATTATCCAACGTTAATTCGTCCCTCACATGTTCAAAATATTTTAGTAACGCTGTGCAGCTTGAATTATAATTTAATTGTCTGCATAAGTATTGTATCGCTATTGTCTCATTATTTAATGCTGCCAGCTCCTGGTGTATTGGGTTTAAGTTATAATAAACAATTAAATTCCAATATGATGCTATTGTTTTGGAATGTCCTATTTCGAAATGTATTTTTTCAAAGTTATTGTATGATTTGATTTGAACAGGTGTGGTCAATATTAAGAGTAAAAACAATAATGTCAACATTATGATTGTGACAAAGTTGACTCCATGTGTTACTCTTCTAATCCTCTTATGTGTTTCCAGTTTTGATGAGTCTATTCTTTGCTGATGGCTTGTTTGTTTATCATGACAGACTGGTTCATCCACCGTCAGTAGAGGTGCTAATTTGTGAATTGACCTTTTACAAATTCCTCATTTCCCTTGTATGTTTTTATAATTTTTCCCGCGGCCAATATAACACAGGCACATTGTCTTCCTTTATGATCACCATTGTTTCTGGTTTAGCACTTTCACAACGGGTTCCTCATTTATTTCTTTGTTGCAACTCAATCAAGTATTCTCGACTCTATCGGTTCCACAATTGATGTTTTAGATGAGACACCAACTTCCATCTTGTGAGTAATCCTGCTTGAAGTTGATTTGTTGTCACATCTCCTGTCGGCGGTTCACCAATCAGGAAATGTCCTGGTGTCAGTGCGGTATAGTCATTTGCGTTACTTGACAGAGGTGTCAATGGACGAGAGTGTAGAGTTGCTTCTATTTCAATTACAACTGTCTGAAGCTCCTCATATGTTAACGATGCTGTTGCTACACATCTCATTAATAGATGCTTCGCTGATTTTACAGCAGCTTCCCAAAGTCCTCCGAAATGAGGTGCCCTTGGAGGTATGAAATTAAACTGGATCTCAACATTTGCACATGTCGTTATGATTGTTTCCTGTGACTTAGCTGCATGTAATGACGATAATAACTCATTAAGCTTATTGTTAGCTCCTACAAAATTGGTTGCATTATCACAATGGAGTGATTTACAATGACCTCTTCTTCCTAAGAATCGTTTGAGGGCTCCGATAACTGCATCAGTACTGAGATCACCAACTACCTCAAGATGAACAGTCTTTGTTGCGAAACAACAAAATACCGCAAGATACACTTTTATAGGCTGCTTTCCTCGTATCTTGTTATGTACCAATAGCGGACCACAAAAATTGATATCGGAATGAAGAAATGGTCGTGCAGGTTCTATTCTTGAACTCGGCAAGTTTCCCATGATTTGTTTATACAATGTCGGCCTGGCCTTCTGACACCGAATACAATGTTGAACTACTGATCTCGCCATGGGTCGTCCCTTGATTGGCCAAAATTTTTGTCGTACTTGTGCTAGCAATGTTTGCGGTCCACAATGCAGTTTTTCTTTGTGAGTATCCTACATCAACAACTTAACCAATGGGTCATTGTAAGGTAATGCCATTGGATGTTTTGCATCATTACTTAATTAAAATGTTTCCAACCTTCCGCCAACCCTAATTATTCCATTTATATCTGTTTCTTTCAGTTAGTTTACTGATAACTTTTCTTCACGACTACTTTATTATTTCTCAAAAACACATGTCGCCTTTTCGCGTGTGCTTAAAGGCGACGACACAATACAAAAATGACAAATAAATTAAAGGCCATGATACAATAAATCTTAATTCTAAACATATCGCCGTCTTTGATGGCTCCAGCAGACATCAACATTCAGATGGAATAGGTGCCAATTTATGGATTGCTTGGCGAACCTCTCCATTCTTTGTTTTTACATCAGCAACTCGAACCCAACCTTTAGCATCTCTTGTCACTTTCAGCACTCTCCCTATAAGCCATTGCTTAGAAGGCAAATTTTCTTCTGCAATTAACACCATATCACCTTCATTAAGGTTCTTCTGCTTCTTAGTCCATTTGACTTTCTGTTGAAGTTCATGAAGATACTCCGCCGACCACCTTCTCCAAAAATGTTGTTGTATGGCCGAAATTCGTAGCCATCTATCTTTATGAGACCATTCTTCGCTATCCACAGTAGGTTCCACAGTTCCAACCAACGGACCACCTGTTAAGAAATGTGCCGGTGTAAGAACGCTTTCATCATTTGGGTCGTTAGACAAGGTTGTCAAAGGTCTTGAATTTAAAACTGCCAGTCAAATCAGAGACCACCTCCATATGCACAGCTTTTGTGGCAAAACAAATAAAAACAGCAATATAGCTTTTTGTTGTTCTGTACCCACGAAGTAGATACGTTGTTGTAATAGGGCCGCAAAAGTCCACTCCAGTCACAGTGAATGGCCTCGCTACGGTGACTCTAGAAGAGGGTAAATCGCCCATAATCTGATTACTCAATTTTGGATGGCATCTAAAGCATTGTAGACAACTACCAGTAATTTTGCGCTTGCGTACCAGCATGCAAATATTTGAAATAAAGAAATCGTACAAAACTGCAAACTATTTCTGAGTTATTCGGTAACAAAATTTGATGTTTAGCATCATATGGTAATGCAGCCTTCGCTAATCTCCCACCAACACGTAGTAGCGGAACACCATAAGTATCTTCTACAAAAATGCTCAGATTTTTATATTTACTGTTTGCTGGCAATTCTCTATTCTTCAATAGCAGCTCAATTTATTCTTTGAAATAATGTTGTTGCACACAGTAGAATATACGTACTAGTGCTTTATCTAATCTTTCAGTCATAGACTTAACGCTTCTTCGAAAGCCAAGAAGATTGGCAAAAATTCTTTGTAATTTTTCAAAATCGCTGAAGGTTTCAACCCACGTCACAAAAGAAGATTTCGAGTTATCCTCAGAGCATGCCTCATAAGGTATTTTTTTTTTCAAATTATTAACAGTCATTATCGTACTATTACGACTCCTTTCTTGGTCAGCATTAGTATTCTTTCTAGACTTATTTGGTGGCCACTCACAACAATCTCTCTTCAAGAAAGAAGGACTTGCAAACCAAATTAAGAATTAGATAGTTCATCTACATACGCACCTCTTGATATTATATCTGCTGGGTTAGACTTTGAAGGAACATGCCGCCAAATACACGTTTTTGTCTGCTCTTGTATCAATGATACCCGGTTGGCAACAAATGTGTTCCAATTTGATGGGTGCTCGCTCAGCCAATCTAGCACAATTTCGGAATCCACCCATAAATAGGTCGCGTCAATACAAATTGGAAAATTGGATTTGGTTTTTGTCACTAGTTTCGACAGCAATTCCGCAGCCAAAAGTTTCAATTTTGGTAAAGATAAAGTTTTTAATGGCGCTACTCTGGATTTAGCAAACCACAACTGCATTGTAACGTCGTTGTCCACACATATTGAGCGAATATAAATACAACATCCGAAAGCTCTTTTTGATGCATCAGCAAATCCATGCATTTCAACTCTAGCAACTCGTTTTTCTGCCAAAACAAATCGAGGCACACTTATTTTCTTGACGTCTTTTAGATTTTCGCGGAATTCTATCCATTGACTATGTAAATTCATTGGTAGGGATTCATCCCAATTAGCCTTCAATATCCACAAATCTTGCATGAAAATCTTCGCCTTTACGATTAATGGGTTAATAAGCCCAAGGGGATCAAACAACTTAGATAGTTCCGATAACACTATTCTTTTTGTCACCGCTTTCGAGCTATCAAAATCTAGCCAAACGTATCGAAACGTATCTCCCACTGGAGCCCAGATGATACCAAGAGTTTTTATTATTTCCTCATCATTCATCCGAAGAGTCTTTTCTTTATCAGCTTCAGGTACGAAATTAAGAAATTTTTCACTATTTGAAAACCACTTCCTTAACTTAAATTTTGCTGAGTTAATTATTGCTGATTCTTGATTATATATTTCAAAAATTTCATTTTCATCGTTTGATCCATTGATCAAATCATCCATATAAAAATCAGATAACACCTTTCTCGATCCAATCGGATATTTATCGATATAATCTTCACTTAACTGTTTTAAGCATCTTGTAGCTAAATAGGGGGCTGATGTTGTACCATAAGTAATGGTTCGCAAGCGATAGGCCTTTATGTTTTCATCTGAGGAAGACCTCCAAAAAATCGTTTGATAATTCGCATCATCATCAGTCACCCATGCTTGGCGATATATTTTTGTTACATCTGCCGTAATTGCATATTTGTAACATCTAAATCGCAGTATTATAGATAACAGGTCATCTTGAACCAGTGGTCCTTTCATCATTACCTCATTTAATGACAAGCCACTGTCAGTTTTACAGCTACAATCGAACACAACTCGAAGTTTCGTACTCGTGGAATCTGGTCGTAGCACATACTGATGCGGTGCAAAATATTTTATCTTATCCATATCAGCTTCTTCAACGATCGTCATGTGACCTAAAGAGAGGTACTCATCCATAAATGCGTTGTAAGCGTCTCGTGTAGAGCGATCTCTACTCAACCTACGCTCTAGTGACAGCAACCGTCGTTTGGCAGCATTATAAGAACCACCCAAATCACTTACTATTGTTTTAAATGGAATTTTCGTAATAAATCGGCCAGATGTATCTCTACGAATTATTCACGGAAAATTTTCTCGCATTCCTCTTCTTCTTCGGTTTAAAAATTTGATTGAGTTGAAATCTGTTCTATTTTCCAGAATTTTTCAACCAATTGACTCAAGTTTTCATTCTCATTATGGTTGTGATTGACCAGCATATTATTTATTTTATGACTAGGCGCTAAACATTCTTCTGCTTTGCCTGCAACTATCCACCCTAGTATGGATTTCTGTAGGGTTGGCAACCAGTAGCGAGGCGTCAGCTTTTTGGCAAGGTGTTCACAATTTAATCAAAACAGAATTCCAACTATAACGTATTCCCCCTACTTCTAAGTTTTGTCCTTTTCACAAGCAAATAGCATACAAGACCAACAATTTATTTAAATGTTCGCAGCCTGTGATCCACTGGTTTTTATATACCATAAAGCTGTAGCTGTAGGAAAACGACGACTTACCATAGATTTCGACATTTTTGCAACAGGTATCAAATTCTTCATATATGGAGTTGGTTTATTCATTTTATGAATTAAAATCTTTTTTTCAGAAGATCATTTAAAAAAAGATATTTGAATCAAATCTATAATCACACATTTATCCATTTCTAAATATTATTTTTCACTTCAAATTTCTTTAATTTTTTTCTTTACTTTTACCATTTGCTAGTATAAAATTGCAATAATGACTTTGTTTTGATTTATTTCCAACCTCTACATAAACTCTCATGCATTCATTTACTCTTTTACTTTGTATTTACAATGTCCGGTTCAGTTTTTTTACTGAACCATTTGCCCATATAAAACAGCAACCGTGACTTTGATTGTATTTGCACGCTTTGTATAAACTTTTGGTTCAGTTTAGTGGAATGAACCTCTCGTCAAATGTAAAGCGATTTTCGCTCAGTCATTTCTTTTGTCTTTTGTATTTACTGTGCATAACATTGGAAGTGCACTTTTTTTATTGAACGGTTTGCACGCATTAATTTAAGAGTTAAGATTATTTTACGTACATATATTTGTTTGTATGTTTTGTGTTGTGTATTCAATATTGAACATATTGAACATGCATGCTTCGTAAGCAACGCGGTGCAGTTTTTATTCTGAACCTTAGTATATTTCAAGAGGAATGTGTTTTCTCTTTTAATAATTATAAGCAATGTTAAGTGTATCTAACATATGTGTGATTTTGTTTGTATTCTACGTTTTGTGTTATTGTTAATCTGTTTGGAAAAGCTATTATAAAAAATGTTAAGTAGCAATATAGCGAGATTATTTACCTAATAAAAAAAAATCTAAAAAGGAAGCTTTGTTAAGGTGTTCAGTGAACACTCTGAACCATTCGACGCCTCGCCTCTGTTGGCAACCTTTCATTAAGATAAATTCGTCCAATCGACAACAAATCGAAGAAAACCTCCGCACCAATTAAAATATTTATACGCGCTGGCTTATTGAACATTGGATCAGCCATTTGAATATTTTTTGGTAAATTCCAGTCCGCAACATCGACATAACGATTAGGTTTGGAGCTTGTTATTTTCGGTAAAACATAAAATTGCAGACTGACTTCGAATTCATTTATTTTTGATTTGATGGTAGCCACAGTTTTTGTTTTAAAGCTAGTTACAACGTCTCCAACACAGCTAGCATCTAATTTACAAGACGTTTTTTTTAATAACAGTGTTTGAGCAACTTTCTCACACATCAAATTTACTTGAGAGCCAGAATCTAATATGGCTCGCATTTGGTGATATTTGCCAAACTTGTCCGCTACCATTACTACTGCTGTTGCCAAAAAAACCTCGTTTTCAGTCATTACGTTCATAACTGATGACTGAGCTGTCTCCTGTGTTGACGTAGATGGCTCATTTTTGCATCTTTGTTCATTTGGCTCCAAGATATAATCTTTATGTAAAAGTTGATGATGAGATAAATTACATTTCGAGCATTTAACAGCAGAGCATTCTTTTTGAAGGTGTCCCTTTTCAAACATGTAAAACATATCTTTATTCTCCGTGCTACGATAAAGCGTTCTTTTAAAGAAAGCTTTCTAAACTTGCTACAATCTGCAATCTCGTGGCCACTGCCATTGCAGACTTCACATAAAGGTTTTGTAACTGCAAGAGAGGTTGAGTAGTTGCGGTTATTTCTATACTCTTTTTGATAGTTTACAGCCTTTGAATTCACTTGATTAACTTTATGTTCCCTTGCCTCAAGGCTCTCATATCGCCTCGTCAAAACTGCTGAACATTCATTCCAAGTTGACAGCTTCCTGTAATCCACTGATTCTTCCCATTTGACCTGCGAATCTTCGTCCACTCTATATCTTTGTAATCACCTAATGATAGCATTGCTTTCAAATGTGCATTCGCTGCATTTAATACATTTCTTAAATGAACTCCAGATGGTTTTGTTAATTTTGGGACAGCAAAGAGGGCTGTAATATGTTCCTCGAACATCAACGCCTTTTTATCGAAGCATTCCTTCAATCGATCGAGTGCTTTGGGGTAATTGTCCTCTGTGACATCAAAATCGTCAATAGCTGCCAGCGGCTTAGAGCCCAAGTGGTCTTTAAGTATCAAAAATCGTTCACAGTCATCAAGCATTTCATCCTGGTTGATTAATTATTAAACAAGGCTATAAATTTCGGAAATTCGCTATACTTCCCTTCAAATTTCGGTAATTTTACTTCCCGATGACTTCTTGGGCCCGGTGTAGCGTGCATAAGCATACACTATGTGAGTAAATAAGTATGCTGATATTTATTGTAACTTTATTGCATTCTTGCAATATGAGCCCCTACCGTCCGTTTGACGATAGTGTTTGGGCTGGCGTGTGAAGACGCCAATTCAGCAAATTCTCACAGTATGCTAATGCACACTGCTCCTCCAAATATGAACTTTGTAAAAACATATTTCAGTCAATAAAGCAAGTCTAAAAAGAGAACACGGTTTTTAAATTACTACATGGCGACCGTGACATGTTTTAAAAATTAATAAAATTATTATTAATAAATTAATTAATTATATTAAATTGATTGTGCACGCGTGACCGTGACATGTTTTAATAATAATAAATTATTATTAATAAATTAATTAATCATATTAAATTGATTGTGCACGCGTATGGTGACATGTTTTAATAATAATAAATTATTATTAATAAATTAATTAATCATATTAAATTGATTGTGCACGCGTATGGTGACATGTTTTAATAATAATAAATTATTATTAATAAATTAATTAATTATATTAAATTGATTGTGCACGCGTATGGTGACATGTTTTAATAATAATAAATTATTATTAATAAATTAATTAATTATATTAAATTGATTGTGCACGCGTGATGGTGACATGTTTTAATAATAATAAATTGTTGGTTAATTATATTAAATTAATTGTGCACACATGATGACGACATGTTTTAATAATAATAAATTATTAATAAATTATATTAAATTAATTGTGCACACATGATGACGAGTGACTTCTAATTGCAATAACAATTTTGTTTTGATTGATGTGTTATTATTAGTTATAATAATAAAAGAAAATTATTAAAGAGAAATAATAAACAACACACATGATGACGAGTGACTTCTAATTGCTAAATAACAATTTTGTTTTAATTGATGTGTTATTATTAGTTATAATAATAAAAGAAAATTATTAAAGAGAAATAATAAACAATTAATATAAAATAATTAAAATTTTTTTATTAATTAACAATTAATAATAAACAAAAATTTATACAAATTTAAACTAAGTTTAAAAATTTAAACTAAGTGAAAAACTATGTAAAAATGTATGGAGTAAAAAAAAACCACTGCTGATACTGACGATACTGCCGTCGCTGTTTCAACGTCGCTGCGACCTACCTCAATTACTGCTGGCACAGTCATCAACTACAGCAAGACAACAGCTGCTGTGTATTTAATCTCAAATATAAGTGGATGCAAGCAAGTAGATTAAAAATTTAAAAATAAAAAATTAAAAATTAAAAAAAAAAAAAAAATAATTTTTATAGAAATGAAAAATTTTATTAGTTTGAAATAACATGTAAAATCAATAATATTTTGTTTTATATTTTGGAAATTACTTTAAGAAAAACAAAAATCATAATAAATACAAATTTATAAAATACGAATACCAAATTAAATTAAATCATGATAGAATTGTTTAAAAATTAATAAAATTAAATAACTCTGATATTTAATTCAAAAAAAAAATTTTTATTAAAAATTAATTTGTTATAATAAATACAACTATATACATAAGTGATTTTTTTTTATTAATTTTATTTTAATGTTAACGAAAAGTTTACGTTGTCAATAAAATCAACTGTATTTAACAAACAGTTGTTTATTAATTATATTTCATTTATATATTTATATTTGTATTCTATATATATATGTTTTTTTTTATACATCTATTCAATTTTTATGTTTTATATTCATTCATTCATTAATATTATTTGGAAATGTGCGGCCCAAAAGCCAAATTCGATAGGCCTCAGGCCAATGTAATTAATGAACTGGAAATACAGACAGATTTAAGTGATTTAAAGACCACAAATTTCCTTTTACTTATTCTTGTTATTATAGTGATAGGAAAAATAGTTCTCAAATTAATAGGAAAGTACAGAGCTTCCGTTAAAAGGAAGTATATGAATCGTGCAGTTTCAACGGATAACATTTAAAATGTTTAATTTCAGAGTTTTTTTTTCTCTTTGCTGCATTTAGATACAAATTTATTACTGGATTAGTATGTAAAATATGTAGAATATTTTTATGAGTTCTCAATCGTCGTATAAGAAAATTTAACATTAAATTCTATATAATACGTGAATTTCATTTTAAGGCTATGTTATAGATTTATCTATACAATTCAAAGAGTTTACTATAACTTACGCAATTAAAGTGTTAAGATTTTCGTAAATTTAATTTACAATTTTAAAAACAAAATATTGTTTGATGGAATGGCAAACAATATTGAATAAAATACGCTTCCTAAAAGAAACGTTTAATAAATCCTATAAATGCATTGCAATAGATAGACCTATTAGTGCTACAACACTACACAAACACTGTACGTTATTAATACAGAGTTTAGAGAGTATTCGAGTACTTTTGAACGTACACTTTGATAGGTTCACAACCGCACACAAAGCGGAAGCGAGGAAAATCTTTGGAGACCTCCGTGAAAGAGCCATCAAAGTTACCCTAAAGAAAGGCATTAATGTTGAAATACCCACAACATTAAATGAAAAAATATCTATTAATATAGAATTAAATATAGACACAGACTCTGAAAATACAACGGAACACAAAAATATAGAAATGGCACAAGCACAAGTAGAGCTCGACAGAGCATACATAAAGGAAACCGCCATAGCAGTTCCAGAATTTGACGGGAAAAAACAACACTTGGAAAGATTCATTAGAGCATTACGTTTGATAGACCGCACCAAAGGTACACAGGAAGACCTGTGGAAGTTATAAAATCAAAGAGCTGTGGAAGTTATAAAATCAAAGATAACAGGACCCATACTGTATAGGGTGAAAGACGAGGAAACTATACAGGGAATAATAACAAAATTATCCCTATGCGTCAAAGGAGAATCAATCGACGTCATAAAGGCCAAGTTGATGAATATTCAACAACGAGGCAAAACGGCTACTCAATATACTGCCGAAATCAATAATCTATGTCAAGCTCTTGAGGGTGCATACATAGATAATGGCGTAGATGCGGACAATGCAGAAACATTTAGTCGGAAAGAAGCTATATCTTCGATGACTAAAAATTGTACTAATGACAGGTTGAAAACCATAATGGAAGCAGGCACATTCAACTCACTGAATGAAGCTGTATCAAAATATGTCAACTGCTGTACAGAAATGCATGGAAGACCGAACGCAATTCTATATTACTCGCGAATAAATAACAGAAACACCTACCGCGGAAATTACAACCGTCGTAGAGGCCGTGGCAATAACAGCAATCAACGAAATAGCCACAGAAATAATAATCAAGATATTCAATCATATGGTAATGAATATCAAAACAATAGATACCCCCGTAGAGGCAGTACATTTAATACCTCACGTGGACAAGGGCGTAATAACATACGCGTAATACAACAAAATCAACAAAATTCGTAAAACTAATTAACCCCCCAAACTCATACAAACATCATAAAATCTATAATTTTAATCCAAATCTAAATCTCATAATACAAATTTATAACAATGATGCAAATAAGTCAATAACTCTTCTATTAGACACTGGTGCTGACATTTCAGTAATAAAACAGTCTCACACTATTTACAATAATGTAAATACAGAAACTGTTACAATTCTAAGTGGTATTGGCCAGGGAACAATACACACTATAGGATCAACTGATCTTGACCTTAGAATTGATAACTTTCTACTAAATCACAAATTTCAGGTGGTTCATGAAAGTTTCCCAATTCCTTGTGATGGTATACTAGGATTAGATTTTATAAAACAATATAATTGTATATTAGATTTCAAACATAATCAAAATTCACTTACATTAAGACCCGATAATTTTTTTACAGATATATCAATACCTATTGAACATTCTACTTTTAATAATACAAATGATACAATTCTTTTACCCGCAAGATCAGAAACAATTAAATGTATTAAACTTAATTGCTCTGAAAATGAAGTTCTAGTACACAGTCAAGAACCAATGCCAGGTATTTACATTGCAAACGCAATTGTTACTTCTAATAATGCATTTATACGCATCATAAATAGTACTAATAAGGATACTAGTTTAAAACATAATGACATAAAGTCAGAAAGTCTATTAAATTATAACATACTTACACACACACAAACAAAAAATAATAGAAGTCAAGAAGTTTTAAATAATCTAAAAAAAAACTTCCCCAAACAATTCAATTCTCAATTGTACGAGTTATGTTCCCAATATACTGATATTTTTGGACTTGAGTCTGAA